TGGTTCATCCGAACTGGTAGAATCCCACCCCTGGCTTATACACTCTGCTTTTATTAAAGTTACATCTGGTTTGCCGAACCGGTATTTCAACTGACCAGCTGGCCCCCCCACCCCCAAGGAGTCTCCACGTGGCCCATTTTCGATGGAAGTAAGTGCAGGGTCCACGCGGAGGCTTTGGGAGGCGGAAAAATGGACCTTCTGGAAGTCTGGAAACAGTCCTGTTTTCGGCTTCCGGAGGGCCTCCAGAGCTCAGGGAAAGCTGTTTTCGCACCCCCAGAGGCCCAGGGGAGGCCTCCGGACCCTTGGGAAGGCAAAAAATGGCTCTCTTGGAAAAACCAGAAGGCACAAAATGGGCCTGTTTCTGGATTCTGGTGGGCCTCCAGAGCCCAGGGGAGGCCATTTTCGCCCTCCCAGAGGCTCGAGGGAGGCCTCCCCCAGGTTCTGGAGGCCCACCAGAAGCCGGAAACAGGAAGTTCTGATAGACCATGCCTACCATGGCCACGCCCACCCAGCAACCAGGCAACAAACTGGTTGCTGGGATTTTTGAATCCCACCCCTGGTATAAATGTTTGTTATACATTGTAGCTGGTCTCCAGAGCAAAGTAGAGCTCTGGAAATGTCACAATGGGAGATATCTGATTGCATAGTAACCACACTATGTTCTTTATATTGTCCTTCCATGCTTTTGATTTGTTTTTAATAGGATCCACTTACAGCATTAAGTTATCCAACATTAAAACATAAAACCTGGTTTATGGGCTACTAGGTCACTAATTACATGTTCGTTATTCTTAAAAGTGCAATTTCAATTACTTTTGTTGAGATATTTGTTATGAACAGTTCCTGAATACACCTGCTTCTCATTTTGAGAGGTCACAGTTGTTAGTTCTCCCAAAGGTGCTGTTTTTCAAACTTTGTTTTTCCTTGAAGAACGTTTCCCTTCTCATTTAATCTCCATTGGTGAAGAGCTGGTTCTGAAAGGCCATTCACAAGCTAACTTATTTTGTTCTTGAGGTCAAGAATCTGTGGTAATCTTGGGAAGGTTCCCTCTAGTAGGATTTTCAGATGATGCTTACTCTGGTTCTTTATTTTAGTTCCTTCCTCTTTGCCCGATTCTTTGTGACAAGATGAGCTATGCACAATCTGAAGACCACCTGGTCTTCCCCTTGCTGTGAGTCTGGATCTGGCCATCCTTCTAATTACTCATAAGGTTTAATTTAGCTTTTCATTGGAACATGAAAAACAATTGCTGAATTGGCCAGGTTAGCTTGGACTTTTGTCATCCTAAGAGGAACGAGGAGGAAGTAGAACATGTTGATAGGCAAAGGACCTGCTTTCAGGCTTTTTTCCCCAGGACCTCAAGCCCTGCAGTCAACTCCAGCCAATCTATTGTTGCAATATTACTTCTGAGGGGTCCTTGATGCTCTTTGAGCTGGGTTGTTATTTTGCAGATGTTTCATTACTCAAACTGCACTGATGATGTTACCTAGTTTGGGTAATGAAACATCTGCGAGAAAACAAGCTCAGAGAGCAGCAAGGACCCTTAATTTTAACCCCGAGCTACAAATATTCTCCTTTATTAATATTGCTTTTAACACTTTTTTCATGTTTTCTTAGGAGAGAAACATTATGGAGCTATACAATCAAAACCAAAAGTTTTTGGACTTCAGTTTTTACAGCAAGATGGATGGCAGCTCAGAAACATGCTCTTTTGAATCTGCCCAGTTCCCTGGTTGGTTCATAAGTACTTCTTCTGAACCTAACAAACCTATCAATCTCGGTCAAAAAGGAGGCACAGGCATTACCCTTTTTTATTTTGAAACAAGTGAGAGGAAGGAAAAAGTGGAACTTGTCATTACGAGAATTATTTAAGACAAATGCCTACTTCAGGTTTTGTGGGAAATGTAGGTTTGTTAGTAAGTAAAAGTTTCAGTTTTATACAATTGAGGATGCTTTTAGCAGATTGAGCAAAAATGTTGGAATTTCTCAGGTCATAAGACATTTAAGTAATGCCTACTTTTTCATTTATCGTCAACATTATTCTTTGCTAAATAATAAAAATAGAATGATATCCTGTGGTTATGTTTATTATTTGTTAAGAAACCCCCTTTGAGGGCACCCCAACAATTTGTGTGTGTGTGTATGTGTGTGTATGAAAGGAAGAACGAAGGGAAGAAGAAAGGAAAGAAAGAAAGAGGGAGTTGCAATAATGACATATACAGGTAGTCCTCAACTTACAGCCACAATTGAACCCAACATTTCTGTTGTTAAGTGAAACATTTGTTAAGTGAATTTTGCCCAATTTTATGATCTTTCTTGCCAAAGTTCGTAAGTGAATCACTGCAGTTGTTAAATTGGTGACACTGTTATTAAATGAATCTGGCTTCCCTGTCGACTTTGCTTGTTAGAAGGTTGCAAAAGTTGATCACATGGCCCCCCACTGCAACCATCAGAAATATGAACAAACTGTCAAGCATCCAAATTTTGATTACATGATCACAGGGATGCTACAATGGTTGTAAGTGTGAAAAATTGTCACTTTTTTCAGTGCCAATGTAACTTTCAATGGTCATTAAGTGAACTGCTATAAATTGAGGGCTATCTTTATACATTTTCTCCCTAGCGTGTCTTCTTTCCACTTTGTATTTTCTCAAATATTTTAAAGTTTCAGTCCTCAAAAAAATAAATCCAAGGTAGATCTTCCAAATCCATTCTGCCTACCTTTCCTTCTTTGCTCTTTAGTGGACATTTTGGATTTTGAAGTCCCGAGCTAAAAGGAAGAAAGAGAGAAAGAGAACACCTCCAGTGTCTTATGTTCAGAAGAAAAACAACCTGTGATCGTATTTTGTCTCAAGAGGTCAATGGTTGAGTGTGTTTTTGCATTTAAATGAATGCTGAATTTTGAAAAACAGGTTTGGCAGAGTCATCCCTCCCCCCCCCCCAAAAAAAATTTTGGCCATCTTAAAGGTTGGGCAATATCTCCAGCAGCTTCTTGGTCACGTTGAAAGCATTGGTGGGCAGGATATGAGAAGAAAAAAGCAGTTGTTTCTTTCACTGAACCAACCAATGATATATTTCCCTGAAAACACAAGGCCCAGTCAATGCACATTAAAACACAAGTATTAGTCATATTATCTGGGGGCATGTAAATCACACCCCCTTGTTATAACAGGTAACACCAGGCCCAGAGAACATCACAGAAAGAGAGATATCCATCAAGGCTCACAAAGTCTCCACATTTGCACAGGTATTCATTTCTCATTTCTCTGCTTAGAACTTTGGGTGCTGTATCCTCTGCTTCATGAGCTAAACAAGATGTAAGGGAAGAGATCTGGGATTTCCCCATTTCCCCAGATCTCTTTGTTTGAGCTATTTCCTTCCAGGAACATTGAAGCATTACAGTGTCAATATATCAGTAATGAGGAAATACCTTTTGCCATCCGAATGGCTTGTTGTTGCTCCGGCTGCTTATGAGGTATGCTCAGTCTGGCTGCTGGGCTGGGCTTAAGTAGCCTTCAGCTGTAAAAAGAAAAGAGAGAGGGGGGAGAGGGAGGGAGGGAGGGAGGGAGAGAGAGAGAGAGAGAGAGAGAGAGTTCCAACATGCCAGAAACCCTTTTGCAAAAAAGCTTCGGCTGTGGGGGGAAAAAGGGAAAATCAGGCACAGGTTTGGTGCGCCATGGCAGGAGCCTTGGGAGTGCTGGGTGGTGAGAAGGATCACTGCTGAAACTGGGCTGGAGCAGATCTTGTTTCCTGATGGCAAGCAGTCTCACAGCCATGTGGTTGTTTGCTCAAATAAACCGCACCAAACTTGATTGCAGGAAATACGACTTCAGCAATAGAGTGGTCAATGTCTGGAATACTCTACCCGACTCTGTAGTTTCTTCCCCAAACCCCAAAAACTTTAACCTTAGACTGTCTACTATTGACCTCACCCCTTTCCTAAGAGGTCTGTAGGGGGCGTGCATAAGCGCACCAACGTGCCTACCGTCCCTGTCCTATTGTTTCTCCTATTCTTTTATTTTTCTTATATGTAACCATTTCATGTATTCACAACTATGTATACATTTATACTTATTATCTTGTAAACAATTGGCAAATCAAATAAATTTCACAAAGTAGGGTGGCAGATTGGCCAAATGGCAGGGATCGGGGGGGGGGGTAGATAGGTAAACTGGAGGAGTTGGAGGCAATCCCTTATGTAATTGAGGTTCAAGACTGGGAGGGATCAAGCTTAGAATGGCTTGGATTGGGGTGGGTGGGTACTCACTTAATGACAATTAATTAATCACAATTCTCAGTTCATGATGGTAACCCAGACTGTCAGGATTGCGGTCATTAAGTGATACAGTCACATGACATCTTGCTTTATGACCATAAGGCTTAACAACAGAAATTCTGGTCCCAATTTTGGTCATAAGATGAAGACTACCTGTACCTTGCTTTTGTTTTCAGAGAATACATGAATTCATTATAGAATAAACACTTCCTTTCTGGGAAGGCAGTCATTCTCCAGGCAACTGGGACTTGCTGATATTCATAGTTTCACAAGGCATTATACTTTCTGCAAAAAAGATGCTAAATGTCAACTAGTGAGGATATGGCCTTCTACAGATATGTTTACCTGAGATTTCTGTTGGCAACATTGATCCAGGCACCTTGTTTCACAAACTTCTTAAAAAATCAACACAAAAAATCCAGTATTTAGTCTATTCTGGTTAGTTTGAAGAGTTTGATTGCAAGCTCTCTTTCTGCTTTCACTCTCTCTCTCTCCCTCCTTAATTCTGCAATTTCATTATTAAAAATTCCCAAAATAAAGATCCTATGTATTGAAAATAATTTACAAAACTAAGGGACTTTTTTTGGAGAAGGTAGTTAAATTCCATTACTGTTTCATTTATTATAGTTCTAGTTCTGATTGGGTTAATGAATTTATTGCAAACCATCTCTCTCTCTCTCTATCATTACCCCAGTCTTTTTCTCAAATGAAGATGCTATGCATTAAAAATAATTAATAAAAATTTAAAGTTTTACAGCCTTTGCAAAACACCCAACTAACTCTTGCTAAGGATTCTAGAAATATCTGAAAATTTGGGAAATGTCACAGAAATGGCAGGAAAAGCTGAAAAGAAGATATGGGATGAAGAAATGAGAAGTTTATTCAAACAATTAGAGCCAGGTTAAAAAAAAGCACCTCTTTTTTGTCCTTCATTGCTCTGGAGATTCTAAAGCATGTCTATCTTCTAAATAACTTAGACAATGTAGAAATAAAAATTGTTTTTCTTATTCTTTACAAATGACAAATATACATGCACAGTCATCAATATTCTACTACCATTAAGTATAACTGACTAAAGTTTAATTTTGGGTCAGATTTTAAACAACTGCCTGTTTATATATTATTACAATTTTCTGCTTTCTCATCTAATTTTTGTAAGAAAGTAGTTTGAGACACTATATTTCCTTAGGAAGAGGGGTATAAACTCAGCTCTAAACTCAATCTAGCTAATGCTGCCTTCTTGTAACTTTTAACTCCTGTTGCTTTTCAGGAAGAGAAGTATTAAAGGTATAAATGCCCAGGTAGTAAGTGATGGATCTCTGGTATTCTGATTGTAAATGATGGTTGGCATCTTTCTTGATGTTTAATTATTTTTTTGTTTTTAATTATCTTTTTATTGTTGTGTTGTATAAGCTGCCAAAAGTTGTAACAGATTGGAACGGCCTACAAATCAATTAACTAACTGTTGTTGGCAAGGGAGGGTCAAGCAAAGAGAAGGAAGGAATGGCTAAAAGGAGAATTAATTTGAACATGACTAAAGTTTATCTTGGTCCAATCAACCACACTTAGTTAAAATGAAGTTAAGTTTCTTTTACAGTACAGCAAATTGTGGATTTTAACCATAAAATAGCATTTAGCTGCAACTAATGCATTCTTGTTCTGAATTTTTATTTTTTATTCAAATGGCATCCCATCTTTCAGTCCATATTGTAGAATAGTCAAAGCAGCTCATAGGAATGAAAATTACAAATGATAAAACATTGAAAGAAAATCTCCAATACGGGTAGTCCTTGACTTACAACAGATCATTTAGTGACCATTCAAAGTTACAACTGCACTGAAAAAAGTAACTTATGACAATTTTCACAGTTAGGACTGTAGCATCCCCACGATCACATGATCAAAATTCAGACGCTTGACAATTGACTCATGTTTATGACGGTGGCAAAGTCCTGGGGTCACGTAACCCTCTTTCGAGATCCTCTGATGAGCAATCTCAATGGGAAAACCAGATTCACTTAACAACATTTTGACTAATTTAATAACTACAGTGATTCCCTTAACAACTGCAGCAAGAAAGATCATAAAATGGGACAAAGTCAAAACAAATATTTCACTTAGCAACAGAAATTTTGGGCTCAATTGTGATCATAAGTCAAGGACTACCTGTACAAGTAAGATCAGAATTATAATCGGTGTTAAAATCAGTCCTAAGAACAATTAAAAGTACAATGGAAGAGATAAGATTTTGCCACATGGTAAAAAGTTTCTTCTCCAAGAATCTCACCAAGAAGCTTCTCTTCCACATGTTGTATTAGATGTATCCTTCTGTGGTAGATACACCTTTTAAGCTTACTGGAACACTGTAGATTTAATCATTTATTTGCCCAAACATGGATTTTTTTGCTTGCATTATATGAGTGCAGAAATTTTCTTCTCAGAACTTAAACCCGGTGACATGTGTATTGCTAGTGAACTAAGGCCACGTTTGTTCAGATTTTGGGATATCAGCCAGAAGATTTTCAGCCTGATGGGTGATGACATGCTAGTACCCTGTTTCTCCAACAATATGGCCTCCCCCAATAGGAAGTCCCAGCATGTTTTATAGGCATGAAATGAAATTAAGCCCCTCCCCCCAAATTAAGGCCTATATTAAAACATGCGAAATGGGGGGAATGGTGGGGGGGGCTTGCCGTTAGGAAGTACTTTTGTTGCACACCCGGATATGGTGCTGCCTGCGTTGACTCCGAGGTCAACATCCAAGCCGTCGCCGCCCACCCGAAGATGCAAGGGGGGGGGAATTAAGTCACCCCCGAAAAGACGGCCTAGCCATTTTTTCGGGGCTCAAAAAAAAATAAGACCCAGCCTTATTATATGAGAAACATGGTAGCAAGTCCAAATGATTCAAATTCAACAGGTTAAAAAAAAGGAGAGCTCTTTTTTTTAAAACAAACAAGCAAACTGGAACAGTCTTTGGCCAAAATGATTAATGAAATATCTCTGATGTGCAGAATTGACAATGGAGATGTCAGAAATGACTGTCTACTGGTAACTAGTTTGGTAAAGCTATTCTGAATTCTAGGTTCAAAGATTTCCTGTGGAATGTTTCATACTCTAAATCTGGGTCCCCAACATTTTACATGTGTACCCATAGATACTTTAGATGTTGGAATTCAGATAATTAAATAACTAGAGAAATCTGCAAGGGATTGGTGCTGGAAAGTAATCTTGCCATTCTGAATTCTTATCGATGTCAAAAATGGAAATACACACTACACTAAATTTTTGGCATTGAAATGCTGCCATGAAAAGAACCATAGTATTTCTCCCAGTCCCAAATTTCTCTCAGATTCAGATATTCCTACCAGAAATCAGAAGGAGTCTGGGAATACCTTTTCCAACTAATACATCTTATGAAAACACATAAGCTTTCATGAACTCAGGTACATAAAGTAGCTAAACTGATGTATTTCTGTTCATTTCTGCATCTGATAAAGTGAACTGCTATGCCTTTTAATAAAATTGTTCATTAGGAAGGTACTAGTAAACTGATTCTTTGTTACCATTGATTAATACAGTTCTCCCACAATATCTAGAGTGAGAGATATGTCTACAAAGGCCTTATCTCAAGTTGAGGATTTGTAATTCTTCTATTTTTTCTTGTTTTGGTAAATCTTATTGTTAACCTAACATCAATGACTTCTCCTACAAAACTTCCCAACTAATAGGAAAAAAATGGCATTTTTTGTTGTCTTCTTATACTGTTTCTTCCTGTGATCCTTTTCCAGAGCAGTTGATTGCTGTGCTTCCTAATAATGCTCTAGAAGTAAGAAAGCAAGCCATCTTTATGGGTATCCAACCAAATACTGTAATAAACTGTGTGCAGACTGAGGAGGGCCAAGTCCAGCTCCAGTTAATGGTGAATATTACACTTATGCCTCAATTGGGGAGGAGGACAGTTTCTTTTGGAAAATTATCCTTGTTGTTAGATGATTTGTTTATGTATAGCACCACAGAGTAATCAAAGGGTACATACAGCAGTCACCATGCTCAACTGTTCAACTGTAACAGGAAACTACTTAGAACAAAGGAGCACTCTCTCTCTCTCTCTCTCTCTCTCTCTCTCTCTCTCTCTCTCTCTCTCTCTCTGTGTGTGTGTGTGTGTGTGTGTGTGTGTGTGTGTGTAATAGATCCAAACTTGTAAACACTGCCACCTACTGACTGAATACTACTTTAGTTGTTGCACAGAAACACATTCCAACAATGAATTCCAATACTTGTTTGTCCTTTTATGGTGTATGATTTGTACCATTAATATTAAAATGTCTGAAATACTTTTCACCAATGGAAATATAGAGATGGTTGAATGGGAATTATCTTGCTGTGTCTGATCACTTTTTCTTACAAATTCAAGTGATATGGTTGGAAAGAGAGAGAGAGAGAGTGAGAGAGAGAGGTTTCTATAATAATTTTTTTTGCAAAGGTAGCTTCAACAATATGTTGACTTACTATATGTGTATACAATTTATACATAAACAATTCATTTACTCCCATGTTCTGGTTACATTTGGCATAATTGCTTTATTGGTTTATCAGCTAAATGTTTGTGGTTTTTAAAAATCCACTTTTAATAATAAGACAGCCAGAAAGGAAACTTTGCTTAAAGGGGGCACATGGATATAGAAAATGTGTCTTGTAAGGCGCTACAAATTATTTAAGAAGAGTTTTGCAGCTGTTGGAAGAAAAATCCATCTGGTTCAGTTCCAAGCTGAGACAAATACACTGGAAACATGGAGGCGCATTGGAAAGATAGTTTATTGATGGAGCAGAACAGTAGTGATATTCTACCGGTTCGGCCTGATTTGGGCCAACTGATAGTAAAAAACCAGCTACCAGTTCAGCCAAACCAGTATTTCTTTCTTTCTTTTTTCACCTTCCAATGATCAGCTGTTCCGACAATCAGCTGTGCTGGGATCCACCTCATTGCCTTATTGCTTCGCCCAGGAAGCTTCCCTGAGATTGAGGAGGCAAAAAGGGCAGGGGTGGAATTCTAGCGGTTCTGTCCACTTCTGTAGAACTGGTTGCTCTGAAAAGCAGCAAACAGAGAGCATACATAGAACCGGTTCTATGTCTGCTGCTGTTTTGGCCCACCCGCCTGCCCGGGCTCTTACCTGACCTTTATTTCCTGCATTTTCAACCGCAGCTACTTCATGCGACACAGCTGCAGTTGAAAAAGCAGGAAAAAATGCCTTTTCAACTGCTGCGCACCCGCATGCAGCACTGCTCAGCTGTCCAGGCAGCTAGATGATGACAGTATACACACGCGTGCAGCAAAGTGTAAAATCACCGAACCGGTAGTTATACCGGTCGGATCCCACCCCTGAAAAAGGGGCATGTGAGGGTTTGTGTGTGTGCGCTGTGTGGCTCCATCCTGCGCTCCATTTTTTTCCTCCTGGGAGCAAAAACGGTCTCCCAGGAGGCTTCCCTGAGGCCCAGCAGACAAAAAAAAAGGAGCACGGAAGGGGGGTTTCTGCAAAAAAAGCCATGCCCACCCAGTCACATGGCCATGCCCACCTAGCCACGCCCACCTAGCCATGCCCAGCTAGCCACGCCCACAGAACCGGTAGTAAAAATATTTGCATCCCACCCCTGAAGCAGAACCATATGTGATTTTGGGCAGCTGACAAAATGGAGTTGAGGGTGGGTGGGTTTTATATACCTTCTTTGGGCTTTATATTTGAGCTTTGTATTTGAGCTTCCTGTTCCTGTGCAAGAACATGTCCTTTAATATTCTATTGTCAAATTCCAATGGGGTCATGTAGAGCTTATGTAGGGGTCATAGCTGGCAAACAAATCCTAGGTGTTTGTCTGAGCTAATCTGGTCAACCTCTGGCTTTTTGTTTATCTGAGCTCCCAGGTTTGAAGTTTGGACTGCTCTGGGATGGTGCAACGGAGGGGCTTGTGTTCTGAAAGGGTGTTGGGCAATTCCTATTGTGGCTTAATGGCTTTCATCCTGTGTTGGATCTTGGGTGAGGGGCTGCTTCTAATCCTACCATTCTGCCTTTGTTCAGACTTTGCTGCAGGGAGTTTCAAAATATCCTGTCTTTAATGGATTTCTGCCTGCAGTATTTGCTTTGCTTATGCATAGAGCTATCTAGATACTTGTCTTCTTCTTTCAATAAGCTCTTTATCTCTTAAGTGTTGGCATCTGCTGTGGGCTATTAAGAAAAACTTGAGGGACATCTCCTGCTTCTAAAAACAGATTTCTCCTTTAGGGAAATATAATATTCTGTCTTTTTAAATATTTCCAAAATATTTCATTCTTTGGAGGGTGGGGGGACTTCCCACACAGCCATGATTTATTTCTAATGGCACTTTCTAATGAAGCTTTTCTGTTTTTAGAGTGGAGACATTATGTATCTATACAAGCAAAATGAGAAGTTTTTGAACTTCAGTTTTTACAGCAAGACTGATGGCAGCGGAGATACTTGCTCTTTTGAATCTGCACAGTTCCCTGGATGGTTCCTAAGTACTTCTTCTGAAGCACACAAACCTATTGGTTTGAGTCAAAAAGGAGGACCTGAAAACATCCTGTTTCATTTTCAAAGAATATACTGAGTCAGAAGTTTTATTTTCAAAGAGAGATGGAGAAGATTGTTTTGCTGTATTTTATATGTCATGAAAATATTTTTTGGCTTTTTGATTTCTTTCTTTTAATAGATTGTGGTTGTGTTAAAGAAGCAGAAGGTGGGATCAGAAGTAGAGATAGATTACAGTTTGCCTGATCTAGAAAACCTGTTGTACTTTGTTGGAAAAAATATCCAGGTCCAATTCCAAGCCAGGAGAAAGGCACTGGGGACTGATTTGAAAGATATTTATTGATGAAGCAGGGTATTTGCTTATGAATAGAGCTAGCTATTTCTTTATCTCTTAAGTGCTGACATCTGCCATGGGCTATTAAGGAAGGTGGGGGCTGCTTTCCAAGAGCATGTTTCTCCATTTCTCATCCAGGGAAATATAATATTCTGCCTTTCTAATATTTCTCAAAATATTTCATTTTTATAGGAGAGGGGTGGGTGCTAACTTTCTACAACTTGGTGATCTTTTGAAGAAAGTACCATAAGGGCTTAACTGAAAATCCTCAGGCCAGCCAGACCAGCTATGCAAACATGGTAAAGATATCTTTACTTCACAAGACTTAAAAAAGGATGGCTAAAAGATTAGTGACTTGAAAACATGACGGAACAGACATAGAATTTAAAGCTTGGGGCCAACATATTTATAGGAGTTGATTCTTGTGTCTGTAAAGGAATTCTTCCTGAGGCTATGACTAAGGGAAAACAATGATTTGAAACTTAATACTCAATGCTTTGTACAGCCCTGCACTATACAGCCCCTGCAAAAATGGGTTCCTTGATGGGTATGGAAAAACACCCATCAAGAGAGAAAATAATAATGAACTAATAAAACCAAAATAAAAACAAAAGTGTTGGAAATCAGTGTCTGGTTTTCTGTGAATTTTTATTTTTTTTTAAAAAAGGGAAAGCACACTCACCTAATCCTATCTCTCGGAGGCAGATAAAAGTGAAAGGACTTGCTCTCTGCCAAAGCCTTTTCCTTCTTTATTAAACAAATTTATCTAGCTTCCCAACTCACACAGAGTCTCTGGGCGGCAAAGGTTTTGTTGGGTCAGCCACCTGCTGCAGTAGTCTGGGGGTCTTTTCTGGCCACCGTTTTACAGAAGTGTTCATGTGGCAACTCCCTATGTCCTTTTTCATTTTTGGCCATCAAAATTGCCTTCTGGCCAAGTGTAGGATCTTTAGAAACCTGAAGTGGCCGGCTTACTTGGCATCGTGACTTCGCTGCAAGACTTGTGCTCACAGGCTGTCAGGAACATACAGTTTGCCTCCTTTCCAGGCCAGTTCCCCTCTCATTGCCATCTCTCCCCGATGGGTTTCAAACGATGTGTCTTTTTACAATGCCTCTTTCAACTGTTGCTCTAGGGCAGGGGTGTCAAACTCAAGGCCCGGGGGCCAGATCCGGCCCACGGGGTGATTAGATCTGGCCCGCAGGGCCACCCTGGAAACAGCAAAAGACTGGCCTGCGGTGCCTCTGCCAGCAAAAACAGAACTCAGGTGGGCTGCACACAGCCCTCTTGAGCTCTGTTTTCATTGGTAGAGGGTTACTTACAGGAGGCCGTTGCAGCTGAAAACAGAGCTCAGGAGCCTGTTTTCTCTGGCAGAGGGCTTGGGCTGCCACAGGCACCCCTGACACGAGTGATGTCGAGCTGACCACACCCACTCTGGCCTTCCGAGGTAAAATACAATCCTGATGAAATTGAATTTGACACCCCTGCTCTAGGGTGTTCCCAGGCTTCAGTAGGGTCCCTCGAATCTGTTGTCTTGTAGAGACTTTGTTTGCTAACTACTTGGAGGGTATGATAGAATTAACTATCTCTGCCTGGGTGCTCTTGTATTGCGGCATCCAGGAGAGTGCATCCGCAAATCTTTCCTCCTGGAATGTACTTCAGTGTGAAGTCAAATCGGTTGAAGTATTGGGCCCATCACACTTGCTTCGGGGAGAGTTTATAGTGGGTCTTCAGATACTCCAGGTTTTTGTGATCTATCCACACTTCAAAAGGGATCTTGCTGCCTTCTAGGAATATATTAACAAGGCCCAATGAACCGCAAAAGTCTCTTTCTCCCACACTGCCCAGTGTCTTTCAGCTTCCTTTAATTTGCAAGACAAATATTGCAACTTTCCCCCTGTGTTCTTGTGGACCAAGATTGTCTCCACTGCCATATCCCTGGTGTCCACCTGTATTATGATGGTTAATCTGGGTTTGGGTGTTTGAGGATTGGCTCAGCCACAAAAAGTTGTTTGAGTTTCTTGAGTGCCATCTGTCATTCCCTAGTCCAGTTTAGTGGCTGGCTGGGCTTAGGCTTCACTCTGTCACCCACCACCCCACATCTTGAGCAACTCTGTGATTGGCAAGGCAATCTGAGTAAATGAGGGAATAAACTGCCTGTAAAAGTTGGCAAAACCTAAGAAACTCTAATGTTGCTTTTGGGGTTTGGGGGGCTTTCACCTTCCCTGGGTCCATCTCTATTCCCTCACATGACACCAGGTACCTTACAAACTGATTTTATGAAACTCGCATTTTAACAGTTTGGCACACATCATAGCATCCAGGAGTTTTAAAAGCGCCTAGTGCACCAGTTTCACATGCTCCTCCATTGTCTCGGTTGTCACCAGGTACACAAGGACCCTCTTGTACAAATGCTCATGCAACACTTCATTTATCAGTTGCATGAACACAGCTGGTGCTCCTGCAGCCCAAAAGGATCTCCACCTGGGCAGAAAAAGGGGCAACAGTTCCACTTACCTTTGGGTTTTCCTCCCCTTCGCTGTCACTTTTGTACAGGGTCAGTCTGGTCTTGGCGGCAGTCAGAGTTTCCCCCCCTCACTGATTGGGGGAGAGACCTCTACAATTTGGTGTGCCACCCGCATCTTTTCCCTTGCCCTCTTTGGCATCTTTTTGGTCTTGGGGCCTTTGAGGCTTAGGGTTTTTGGGGCTGTCATGGGCTTAAATGCCAGACAGGTTGCAGCCCTATGGCCCTCCTTTCCACATCTGAAACACAGCCCGGGTTGACATCTCAGGGCCTCACTCAGGGAGGATGATCCTGAGGCTGGGGTCCTCGGATCCAGTGAGAACCTTTCTTGGTTTCTTATTGGTTGCCTCTCCATGTCTCTTGTACTCTGTCAGACCCAATTCCATATTCAGCGCTGCCTGGTACCATGTGTGGGTATTATCTGGGAGGCCATGGGACATGCAGCCATGGTACAGCTCTCAGTTCAGGCCGTCACAAAAGTAGTACACCAGCAACTCAGCTTATTCTGGCTGGCCCTGCCCCCCCGCCCCTTCCAGGAGTCCCCACTGCCCTGTTTTGGCTCCCAGGTAAGTAAGTAAGGTAGGGAGGCCCACCAGGCCCAAAACGGACATGGGGTGTGTGGCACAGCCTCCCCCCACACCCCGTTCTTGCTCACTGGGGGCTGCAGGGAGGCCCACTAGGCTGCATGACTGGGAGCCATGATGATCAGCTGGGAGGCAGCAATGAACCAGCAGCCCCATCAGCTGAGAGACAAATCAGTCAGTTCAGTCAGATCTTACAAATTTGGGAGATTCCCCCCCCCCTCAAGAAGTTGGAAGTCTGACTGAACTTTTTTAAAACTGGTAGTCACATGGTCTTCTTTTGTTGCCCTGCACAGAGGAGAAGGGAGCTGGAAAGCAGGTAAGTGAGGGAATGGTGGGTGTTCTGGAATGGGGTGGAAACAAGGATTTTGCATTATCGTTATTTTGAAATGGGGTGGAAGAGAGGATTTTGCATTATTTTTGCTCTTGGATGGGGTGGAAGTGAGGAATTTACATTATAATGCAAAGTCCCATTTCCACCCCATTTCAAAATAATGACTAGGGTGCCTGAGAGGACACATGGCCTAAAAATGGGCATAACTAACAAAAAACACAAAATTGTGCAAAGGGCCTCCAAGACATGGTGCCATTTACTCCTCAAACAAGAACCTCAAGTCCAGGAGAACCATAGATTATACACTGAGTCAGCCTGGGGCACTGCACCCCATCCATGACCTTTCTCCAAGAGCCAAAGAACCCCTAACTCAGAGCCACTCCATATTGTCAGGGTTCAGTTTTAGACTAATGCTCCCCTTCTAGACCTCAACAACCTCCAGGTACAGGTAAAAGGCAAAACAAAGCATTGCTTAACTCATCTTGGGCAAAGATGTAAATACTGATGATATCTGAACCCATGGTGACTGATGACCTCCCCAGTAGTTTCATGTAGGTGTTAAACAGTAGCAGAGAAAGAAGCAAAGGCCAGGGAATCTGACCTCTCTCCCCTGATCAACACTGACTGAGAATGGCCTCAGAGGAAGAAATGAACCAGGACAACACAGTGACCTCCATCCCCAATCCCTGAAGCCATTCCAGGAAGCTGTCATAATTGATGGTATCAAAAGCCACTGAGAGATCAAGTAGAGTGAGAATAGGTGCGCCACCCTCCCATCTCATTTTTATCTGGTTAGTGTCATTAGTACTTTTTCCCATTTCATCATCTCCTGCTCAATTCCCAAGTGGCATCAATAGATTCCTGTAATCTCCCTCTGCTGGAGATGCATTTGTGTGAAAGAAGGAGAAAACAAGTCAGCCTTTGGGGGGAAAAAAAGGTGTGGCTTGTCTATCTGGTTAGGTTGCATTCCACTCACTTTCTCTTCTGCAAAGTGAGAAGCAGAATCTGTGGAGGAGAAGGAAGAGAGGAGGGTAGTTGGCTAACACCAGAAGTGGTATTCAGCAGGTTCTGAACAGTTCTGGAGAACCGGTAGTGGAAATTTTGAGTAGTTTGGAGAACCGGCAAATACCACCTCTGACTGGCCCTGCCCCCTCTATTCTCTGCCTCCCGAGTCCCAGCTGATTGGCTGGGGCTTCTTTTGTGGCCCTGCATAGGAGAATGGAGCTGGAAAGCAGGTTAGTGGAGTGGGGAAGGAATGGAGATTTTGCACTATCCTTCCCCTGCCACGTCCACCAAGCCACACCAATGCCCACAGAACCAGTAGTAACAAATTTTGAATCCCACCACTGGCTAACGCTCTGAAGACACATACCATCGATGGCTGCAGTGCCAGGAAAAAGTGGGCATCTTCAACTGTGACCTTGATTTGCATGTCTTGGCTTCTTTCAATATCTAATTGCTAGATTGTCAGTGGAAGTAACAAAGGAGGGCATTTTCCATGAGAATCATGAAACTTTAGCTTGGAGAAAATCTGACAGAATTTATAGGATGATTGTCAGCTGGATTTCCAGCATGGGTTTTCCCTTTGATGCATGCTTGCTATTGGCTG